GCACAGAGGGAAGACGGGAGAAGATGCAGGCAGGGATCAGGGTGGTCCTGGAGCCAAGGACACCAGAGATGCCTGAAAACACGGGGAGCCAGGAGAGGGGATGGAGCGGATTCCCTGCTGCCCTTGGAAGGGACCAGCCTCCCACACCTCGGCCTCCAGACTGTGAGACCATGCGTTTGTGCGGTTGAAGCCGCCCAGCCTGGGTGCTTTGCGTGATAGCCCAAAGAGGATGCTGCAGCCCCTCCCCAACTCTGGCCCTTGCAGAGGGTGGAGAGGTCAAGAAGAGGGTGCTTGTGGGTCAGGGACCCAGGCCCTGGGGTGCTGAGCTCTGGAGAGCATTCCTTGGAGAAAGCTGTCCCTGAGGGAGGGAGGACTGGGGCCTTTACATCCTCTGCAGGCAAGGGAGGGGGCTCCCAGGGGGTCACCACGAGGGCGTCAGAGCCCCCTGCAGGGAGGACCACCACTGCCCCAGGCCGTGATGCCCAGAATCTGTGCTGGATGCTCGGGGAGGGGGCACAGGTGTGGGCTAAGAGGAATGCTGCCTGAGAGTCCCCGCGGCCCCGGTGTGGACCCGTGGGAGAGAGGGCAGTGTGGACTCAGACTAGGGGAGAGAGCCTGGAGCAGGACAGACCTGGGCAGAAAGACCGTCAGCCTCCAAGTGACTGAGGAGGGAAGGTCCGGCTGGAGGGGCTCTTCCCCCGGCCGGGGGCACAGGGCAGGAAGAGCCCGCAGGGGGAGAATGGGCTCCGAGACCGGCAGCAGGGCCGGGGAGTCGGCTCCGCAGCCCCCGCGTGGCTCTCCTTCCTGCCCTATGTGTCCCCACTTCCACCCACAACCCCGAAGGTCACCACACAGTTGAAGGACCACAGACGGAGTGTGGAAGGGGGGGCTGTGCCACCGAGAAGCTGGCCGGCCTGTGGCTGCCGTAAAAGTGACCACGAACGTGGCTGAAGCAGCTCAAACGTGCTGCCCCCCAGCCGTGGAGGCAGAATGGGAAGGAGTCTCCCGGCCACAGTTGGGGTGTGGGCGGGCGGGCTTCCCTGGAGGCTCCAGGGCAGAGTGTGACCCCTGTCCTTTCAGCTTCTAGAGGCCCTGCATCCTCGGCTCGTGGCCTCGAGTCTTGCTTGCCCCTCCCGTGGCCTCCCCTTCTGTGGCCGTCTCCCCGCCCCCCATCAGTCCCACCTGGAGGACTCAGAGCATCTCCCATCTCAAGGCCCTCAATTTACTCCCGTCCACAAAGTTGCTTTGCCGTGTAAGGGGACGTATCGCAGGTCCTGAGGGCAGGACGTGGCATCCCTGGGGAACCACGGAAGTCCCCCCCCCCGCCCCCATCA